GTTTTCCTAAACCCGGTCTCTCTTTCTCAAGCAAAGACTAGGTCAATTAAGCATGAATCAATATTTGCAACCATCAAATCTAGAATTTAAGCATAAACAAGGCTAAATATCACTAACTCACACAAACAAGCCCTAAAATTAAATATCCATTAAGTACCCACGCTAGGGTTGAGCCACAACCCTAGCTAAATATTTAGCTACTCATGAAAAATAAAGAAATGCAAGAAGAAATTAAGAGAGAAAGCATAATAATTGATTTAACAAAGAAAATCTAATGTTAAAAAGTCAATTTAGTACAAAATTACTCAAAGAATTAAAGAAAGCCGCTCAGGTGCACCTCTGCAAAACTAAAACTTAAACTAAAAATGACAAAAATTCTATTTATACTAAGCTAAAAATATCTGACAAAATACCCCTGCGAAGGTTGTGCAGCTGTATAATTCTGGTGCGGTCCGCACAATGGGCTCCTGCGGCCGCACAAAAGTGTTGCGGTCCGCAGTCTTGGAAATTGGGCTTGGCACTTCAGGCTTCTGCGATCCGCATAAAAGTGGGTGCGGCCGCACTTAGGATTATGCGACCGCACAAAAGTGATGCGGTCCACACTCCTTTACTTTTCAGCTCTTTGAATCTTCAATCCAGGGGACCGCATAATAATGGATGCGACTGCACTTGATCTCCTGCAGCCGCACAATTTCAGTACAGTTCGCACTCCCCGAGTTGGCTAAAAACCACTCTCTAAATCTTCATTCTGCGGCCGCACTAGAATTGTGCGGTCCGCACTGCTAGCTCTGTATCCCTATTTTGGTTCTTGTTCACTTTAGACTCCTTTATGAGTTGATTTTGACTTTTGGCTCGTTTCCCAATATTCCTGCAAGTAAGCACATTTCGTTAATTTTCGGAAATACCTTTAAGCATTTTTGAGCTAAAACGCAAGTAAAAGAGAGCAAATAAGGGGTCAAAATCCGTACTTATCACTCTACCCTAAACCCTAACGCACACCTATATAAAAGGATACATATTCCCTTGAAGAGGCATCTCAAAAATCCCATAACTCTCGGAATATTCACAAAGGGATCAAGGCATAAAATAATGTCGTGATCAATAGATGTTCTTCTTGATAATCAAATACTTCAAGAAGAATATCCATACAATGATCGACTTTCATGGAGATCAAATAATCCAGAGAGGTTCATATCATCCTACGTTCGAGAATACGCTCATCCAGCCCTCGAATCACGGAGAATAATTCGGAGGAAGAATCAAGGAATAAACAGAGTTGTAACCCGCAATGTATATCAATAAATTTACTTCATTCTTTTGTGATTGCAGTTATTTTTCGTGTGCTAAAAATTTATTGCAAACGCCATTATTATTAACATACCGAGAACAAAAAAATTATTTTAAAAATCAAATAATTAGCCCATATTATCGTAAATAATTAGGTAGAGGGGGTAGACAAAAGCTGCCGTTGTAATTTCTTTTCTTTTTCGCAAGAAGGAAAGCACTTTTGGGGGGCTGATGTTCAGGGGCGGAAGGGGTTCACCCGAACCCCCTTCGTCAAAAAATTATAAGGTAAAATATAGTATTTTTTTTTACCTCTATATATTATGTTTTGAATCCCCTTGACACCACCCAAAAGCGTAGCCTATTTGTTAAGGGAGTTCAAAATATTTGTAAGGTTATTGGTTCAATTCCCACTAGCTACAATCTTTCTTAATTTTTTTCTTTTTTGAACTCCCTTAACGAAAATCCTGTCTCCGCCACTGCTGATGTTATTCCTTCAGAAAATGACATTGTATAGCTGTTGTAAAAATAATACCCGAAAAAATATATAAAATATATATGCTTTGTATATTGTATGTTAGATACAAAAATTATATAAATTTTATACACTTTTTCTTTTTTTTTAACCCCATTAGCGGATATTCTGTCTCCGCCACTGTTGATGTTATTCCTTGAAAAAATGACACTGTATAGCCGCTATAAAATAATAGCCGAATAAATGTATAAAATTTATATTTTTTATATATTGTATGTTAGATACAAAAATTATACTAATTTTATACATTTTTCGATTATTAGATGTAAATAGTTTCTGGCGCGAGCTAAAAGTGATAATACCCTTATTGCTTTGGTAGGTTTAACGCGACTAGTATAAATCAAAGACGCACTCATAAACTATTCTCCAGTTGTAGTCCGCCTTTTTAGTAAGGGAATATGTATGGGAGAATTACATCCCTTGTCACTTGGCCCAACAACCCATCGAAAAATGGCCCATGTTTGAAGCCCTTTCCCAGTATAGCCCAGGTTGTACATAATATGAAAATTAATTTTCACCAGTTAGCCCACCCCTTATTTTTTCGTTCCCCTTTTTTCTTCGTTCTTCTTCTCCTTCCCATGCCAGCCTTTGCACCACAAAATTTCTCTACTATTGGTATTCTCCTTCAATTCTTTTTCGGATTTTAATGGTTAACTAAGGATTTGAAAAATAGAAGTCACCATTACATGTGGTTCGAAGATTCGATTTCAGAAATTGAGTTCTCCGATTTGTTAGTTGTTTGGAATGGGTGTTGTCACAATTGATTGGAATCATCAAAATGAGTTCAAAACTTAATTTTCAAGTGATTTGGAGTAGATTTATGCTATATTTGAGTTAAATTTCACAAATTGAGTTTTCCGATTTGTTAGTTGTTTGGAATGGGTGTTGTCTCAATTGATTGGAATCATCAAGATGAGTTCAAAACTTAAATTTCAAGTGATTTGGAGTAGCTTTAGGCTATATTTCAGTTAAATTTCAGAGGATGCCCAAGTAAGAAAAAGAACACGTGAAGCTCCATTGATAGGATTCATTTGTATAATAATGTATAATATTGTATAAATAGTGTATAAATACAACTTATACACTATTATATCCAAGATTGATACATTATTTACAGGTATTTGGTGAATTTCTCGCATTTTCTTCTTCTTTTTCTTCTCATTCTTCTTATACACCTATATACATAGTGTATCAAGAATATTTTCACTCTGTGATTATACATCTTTATACACTTTTATACAACTATATACATACTGTACCACTTTGTATAAAAGTGTATAAGCATCGCTGACGAAATTTTTGTATAATTTTCACTTGCAATTCTTGTATAAAACTAGTCCAAATATCCAGCAAATAACTTCAAACTTTGTATACAACCTACTTAGACTATTTTTAAGAAGTTCAAACAATACCCACTCCAAATTTCTTAAAAAATCATAATCGAAATTTAACAAGATTAGCATTAAAGGAGATGAGATTTTAGGTTTCTCGCGTCTGTTTTTGCGTTTTGCAGTTGTGATAGGTATGTATACAAAATTTAAAAAAAAAACAGAGAAGTATTGGTTATGGAAGAAGGCACGAATGAGTGTTAGACTGAATGGGGAACTAATTTTTCTTTTCAGTTTTGTTTGCATATGATTCTTTTTCATTAATTAAATTAAATATTTATGGGTGACAAAATGAGGAGAGAGCTACAATAGGGGTAGGTAGGAATAAATGAGGTTGTTATAATTAGAGGGAATAAGAAAAGAAAAAATCTTATTGATATTTGGCTACACATTTGCAAACTTGTAACTGGGCTAAAATAGTGCAAGGTTAACTTATGGAATGCATTATTCTGTAATTTTGCCAATATAGGGATATTTACCTATCTCTGCTGTTGCTTACTTAACCCTCATCACCTATTGAGCAATTTGGTTAGTCCGACACAGTAATGTAATTGATGATAATCCTTGCATAATTGATGGTCAATTAACATTGACTAGACCACTTGTGATCAAGGGACAATGGCAAGGATACAGAAAACTTGTTACATAACACTTTTTTTTTTCTCTCGTACGTATCCATGTAATAGCTTGGAGGTACCTCATTTTTGATTAACTTAGAAGCGGATTCAGAATATAAATTTTGTGAGTTTAAACTTTTAAGACTCTTAGTATTGAACTCATTATATTCCTAAAGTCATGGATTCACACCTACTATTTGTTATAATTTTAATAAATTTTTATTCATAAATTTATGTTCCACGTCAAAAATTATGGGTTCAGATGAACCTAGCGCCGCTACTCTGTGTCATCAAGATTGACTTGTCATGCAATTATAGATCATTTGAATGAATCCTCTGAGCCGTTGGTTTTGTGTTCTCCTCCTAATATAAGTTGTTCGAGTCGGTTCTCGCCGGCCGCCGCCACCTCCTAATATAAGTTGTTCGAGTCAGTTCTCGCCGCCCGCCGCCAACAGACCAATATACTAGAATAGAATGGTTGAAATGGAATTTTTTTTCCCTCAGACAAGCGAAAGCCAACACCACTTCTAGCAAAATATGTTCAAAACGAATTATTGTAACTCAAATCAAAGCAACTATCCTCGAAGCAAAACAAAGATCATACCTTTTTCTTTTTAATCCAAATGCTAAATAACCAAAATTAATTGTACTACATAAACAGAGAAGTTAGATTATTGTAGTTCGCAATTCAGTTCATTGGATTCTTTTTTAAATTGTAATTGTACTCGACAGATTTGCTGGTTTAATTCCATGATGCTAGCTCAATCTCTCTACTTTTTTTCATTTTGTTTAGTTAAACATAACTTCTAAATCTTTTGAAGCAAACGGAGTACCAAACTTTGCATAAATAAAGTGGGCAAATAAGTTGATCATTGATGTATTATTTGGGTGCCAGTTTCATTTAAGAGATCGTTCTTGCATAATATTCAGAGACAGGAAAACAGAGACAGATCGCAAGAAAATCACTGATGTAAACGCCAGCTGTGTACAGATCAAGATTTTCCCCTTGCAATCTCATGACTTAGTCCAGCTACTAACATCATTTTCATGCATTCTTCTAAAGGCTGCATATAATGTCTTAAACTAGAGAAGAGTATGAGCTGTCTAATAGACATAAATACATGGAGCGGGAAGCATTTTAAGTATTTTTTTTTGCTATGATCAAGAAGTGACAGGTTCAAACCGAGAAACAATCTTTCTTGAAAAAATGCAAAATAAAATTGCATACAAGTGGACCCAATGTGGTTCTCGTCCTCTTTTCCAACCATGCACATAGCAAAGCTTAATGCACTGGATTGCCTCTTTCTACGAGAAAATCCAATCTATAATCTAGACGTCGTGCCATAAAACGTAAGCCTTCCATACATCAACCGACAAGAAAATAAATAGGTGCACTAACTAAAACTGGCATCCATCACTCGTTGGAAAAATGAACTTATTCCTTAACAACTCTTAGTTCACCAGAAATCAATAAAACACTCCCAAGCTATAGATGGAAAAATACCATAAGTAGTAAAAAGGAGTCGTCCTGATTAAAACAAAAACAGTAGTAGTAAAAAGGAATCCTACCTTAACATAAGCCAAGTATTGGAGCAACCTACCAAGTGCTACAAGAAGTAGGATCCGGTGGATGGATTCATAGACTAAGTTCCTCTCTGTAGGCAGGCAAACAACAGCCCTTGAAAGGCAAGAGGGATCACCCACCCAAGACCTATTCATCTTCACATTGTGTTTCCTTTCCTAGAAAAACCATTTCCCACTCATTATAAAGGGAATGGATGTCACAGGAGACACAAAAACAGCTTGACCCTCACACAAGGTGATCAGGACAACCATTTAAGAGTAAGCAATATGGCAAGTATGAAGAAGGAGAAGCGTTACATAGAGCAATAACATTATCTGTGGGATAACACACACACACACACACACACACACACATTCCAACATATCAGTCCAAGAGGTCAACTATGGGCTCCTGAAGGAACGTAGAAGATATCTTCAATGAAAAGGTCAAGAGAACACACCTCCGACCATGCTTAGGAGGAAAGAAGAGTCAAAAGCTCATAAAGCCAAAGGAGGAGGGAAGTGATCAAGAAATCAGCGAGTTCGTAGGAAAGTGAGAACACACCTCTTACCTATAATATAAATTTCGAATAATTATATTTATGAGTTATATCTATGTTTTTGTCTACATTTTGCATTCACAATCATATACTTGACCTCCATATTATATAATAGACTTTCATAAAAATGAGATGTAACTAAGTACTGATTATAAATGAAAAGTATAAAGAGCCTCAAAATTTCCAAGTTTCCAAAAAGGTTCAAAACTACAATTTCTGACCCTCTATAGCCAGCAGCCTAGTTAAAAATTATGTATTCTAACGGGAAGGCTGAGAGGAGGGCACAGAGATATGCAGACTTGGTTTGGTGAAGTACAATGATAGTAAAAGGATAATTTGTTGTTATGAGAAAGAATCTAAGTGCATGCACCATATTTAATAAGATCCTATAGAAGCTGTTAGTGATCCTTCATTGTTTGCTTCATCCTACTTTTCTTTACACCAAATTGGAAGATTTTTGCTTTCTAAATAAAAGTTAAATCTCTTACCTCCCTCTTATGCAGGAAAAGGTTGGGCGAATCTGCCGATTAGGAAATGCTCTTATGATTTCGAAGAGGAGAGATTACTTGCCAGAGCTAGTAACAGAATAAGTGGATGATCTTCTTCACATCTTCCTTTCCTGGTCTTGCCCAGTTCTAACAGACTCAAGTATGTCCTATAGCCAAAACTGGTATACTTGAACACATTCTAATATTCATGTTTGACTGACATATTTTACCCAATATAACAATATATACTAAGTTGGAAATAAGAAATCCAATCCTTCCCAAGTCACATAAACATGATGCACTTAATTTCAATAACCAAAAGGAGATGGGAGTTTACTAATCCTGCTAGATCATACAGAAATAATCTCCTCATTGAAACCAATACACACTGTAGCATTTTCGGCACTAATACGTAAGACTGTCTGAAAGTAGAGTTTAGTACACTGCACCAATATTGTCCAGATATCAAAATGCATTAAAACTTTGAAAATTATATGGCAGATTTCACTGCACACTGTAGAGAACACAGCTTGAGAGTTAAACGACATTCGACCAAATCTTGCACTTTGAAAATCTATAAACAAACTTTCTAATTTCATGATCCCTATGAATTCTGTACGTTTGTATCATATGATTGCCACAGAAATTCGTTACGAGAGCAAAACTAGTACGTACATCACTCTTTGGAGGACAAGAAACATCTCAAGGCAACATTAATTCGTTACGAGAGCAAAACTAGTATGTACATCACTCTTTGGAGGACAAGAAACATCTCAAGGCAACATTAATTTACATGCTATTTTCCGATAAAACTTAATACTCGGTTTTCTTTTGCAATATCCAAAGAAAACAACTCCCCTAGCATAATTCAGTTACTGAGTCGGAAGTTATCCTCAAGTCTTAACCATGACTCATGCAAAATCAAGAAGTATGTTTAGAAAGCACATAAATTGTTCACCCTTTGTCATGTGTAGCTCCAGACAAACTGGAGATCTCCTCCCCAATATAGGAAAGCAAGCAGCATCTCCACTGACATTCGAGAAACAGAATCAGTTTGCGAACTAATAATGACCCCTGCCCCCAAACAGAGTCTGGAAGCCTGTCAAGCCACATTATGAAGGAAAATCAAATAACAATAGAAAGTAACAAATTCTGTCCATCCATATCTCAAATTCTATTCTTTACATACATTAGGTTACACCATTGCAACCAAAATCTTTCAAAATATACCCATATAGTTTTAACTGAAATAAACTAGACGAACACTAGATACAATCCCAAGATGCTACCCTATTGCTTCTACAAATTCAATACATTATACCTCCAAAATTGAGGCATGAATGCAGCAATGCTCAAGCTCTAAGCTTTCCCCCTTGGTTCCTCAATCCTTGCAAAATCTGCAATCCATAATATTAAGCCCTAAAACACTATAAAACAAATCAAAACATAATAGAGAACCATCAAAAGCACAAAAACTCAACATGAGAAAGGCCAGACCTTTTGCCAGAGAAGGAAAAGTTTGGATACACCAGCTATGCCATATCTACTTCTGCAACAAATATGTAATTCTCAATTCTATCTTAACATCATATAAAGCATCACATTTGCCAAAGATAATACTCCCTCCGTCCCAATTTATGTGGCGGACGTTTGATTGGGCTCAGAGTTCGAAAAAGAGAGACTTTTGAAACTTGTGATCTAAAACAAGTCATATACATTTGTGGTTAAAACTCATCTCATTACGGATAAAATAGAAAGTTTCACATTAAACTACTTCTAAACAAGGAAGTATGACATTTTCAGCGACATACTAAAAAAGAAAGTATGGCACATAAATTCTGAGGAGGTAATTGCTTGAAAGAAACACACACATAGAAAGTGAACTGAGCCTATACCGTAGTATCATTAACTCTGAACGAATCAGCCGTGAGACCTACTAAATACATTCCAGGGAAAACATTCTGCAAAAAAAACACACACACCAAGCAGACCATAAGAACAAAAAAAGAAAGAAAAAGCATTTTAAAAAAACAACAAAAAGATGCTAGCTTTTTTCATACATCGAGTTGTTTTTGAATTGTCTTGGATCGTTTCTTGGGCCTCCTAGCGGGTCTTGACCCAGTCATAGAATACACATCTTCCTCTATCTCTTCCCTTGACAACGAGATCCATAACTTTTTCTTTTTCTCTTTCTTACCCGACCCGAATCCATGCCCATTATCCACGTTATTATCTCTCACCCTCTGCGACCTTATATGATTACTGCTTTCAACTTCCATTTCAACGTTCTTCTTTAACGGCGCCGTTTCAGCCTCTAACCCCACCTTCATTACACTCTTTCTTGGCCTTAAATTCCACAACACTTTTTCCTCTTTTAGCCCTTCTTCTTCTTCTTCTTCTACATGTTCGTCTTGTCTTTGTTCTTCCACTGGGAGCTTGTCGGAGTCAGAACCACCGTTCAAGTCGGTGGTTTGGGGTGGGTTGAGGTGGTTATCGGCTGTAGATGAAGGAGACTCGCGGCGGCGGAAGCGGTGATTGGTGTTAGTGTGGCTTTTTTGGCCCCATTTCAACTGGGGTAAAGAGAAATAATGCAGTGGCTGTGACTTGACCGGTGCCGTTGCCATTACAGAACAGAGGACTGAAAAAACAAACACTTCGGCCTGAGATGGTGCTATATGTGCAAGAATTATGGGTTCAAAGGAGAGAAATGAGGACGGCGCCGGTGGAAACAAAGAAAGGAACGAGAGGAGGTTTTTTTTTTTTTTTTTTTCTGTAGAAGAATGGTTTGGCTTGTGGGGGTGAGAAATATAGAATGAGGGATATTAATATTAATATGATGTACAGAAAAGGAATGGGATATAAATATATACGTATAAAATGTGCATAAAATGACACGTAGGGTGGGGGACTATTTAAGATCATGCTATTGACACTTCCTTTAGAGCTTCTCGCACTCTAAGTAATTTTTTTTTCCTAATGTTATTAAGTAAAAAAAAGTTTTAACTAGAAAATTAGAGAGATTTAATTGGTCATTTTATCATGTCCGATTTAATTTCAAGTCAAAAGCTAGCTCAAAGGGAAAGATTTTATGAAGCCGCTTATATAGGTTGGCACAACCTCCTCTTCATGGATGATGACAAAAATTTTATCTCAAAATCTACGTGATTATGTCACGTGAAAGATAGAGTTTCTAGCGAGTATAGACTACATTCAAGATTAATGAGATTCGACTACATTAAAATTTAATGAGATTCAATTTGTTGTTTCTACATAAGTATACAATAGTTTATAATGTTAACTACATTCCGATAAAGAATATAGCTTGACTTTAATTAGAAAATAGTAAAATATGTAAAAAAAGAAAGAAGAGGAGTGCTCATAGAATGTTTTCCGCTGAAATAACGACTTTTATTGAGATACAAACAAGGATGTACACTTTTTTGCAATATATCATGACTACCCTATGCTTGTAACAAGATTCCATTAAGGTCTTTAGTCGTTTCAGGAAAAAAAAAAAAACATATTTAGTAAGTATATTTTTACTGGCAGCAACTGGAGAGGTTAATGTATATGGACTTTACGCTTATCTTGTGAAAATATTATTTCTGATACACCATCAGCTAAAGAAAAATATTTCAAAACCGGTTTGAGAATGAAAACAATTATGAGAAGTTAAAAATAATAAAGACAAGAACAATAACAACAGATATACCTTTTTTTTTAAAAAAAATAATCGAGAAAGTGTTGTGAACAGATCACAGATGGTGCCCACAAGGCTTCCTGCATGGTGGTTGTTTGCTCTTCCTTCAATCAACGTGGAAGCTTACTAGGATACAAGTTCCACATGCATCATTTTTATTTTTACTTGAAATTCAACATTCGTACATTATTATTTGTCCGCATTGTTTAAACTCGAAACCTCTAATTATAGTAAATAAACCTTATACGGTTTACCATAATTCTTAATAATAGCGTTAATGCTTTTAATTTATGATACCTTATAATTTCTGGATCCATACACACGAACCATCATAACTTATGTATACATCTAACGATTTCCAATGAGATATCATATTTTAATTAGCTTTTGGTCTATATATTTGCTATATTTGATTAGGGGGGTGTATATACAGAGAGGACTGCTACCATTTATAAATTATATGTATTTGCTTTTGTTTTTCCTTATGCAAGCTAAGTTTTATATTTCCTTTTTCTTTTTCCATGTGCAGCATTTGTGAAATTTCATTTGACTCGAAAGAAAAGTCCTCTTAGATTCATAATTATTTGACTGGTTGATTTCTTGCATAGAAGTGTCTCCAGTCTCCTAAAAGGATTTTTGTTAAAAATTTAATTTGTGGACTTGTACTATAGTCCTCATTTCTCCTCATGTGTGTGTGTTTGTGCGATATATTATGAATGTCAAAGGCAAATGAATGTGTCACCAAAAAATTTGACAAATAAAAAAAAACAGATTCTCTTTTTATCCATTCAAATAATTCTTTCCTCCTATGGATTTTGTTAAAGTGGTAAGATTGAGATCTTGGATTTTATAAATCTTGGTTGGGAGTGTTTTCCTTTCTTGAACATTAGGCGGTACGGATCTAAATTAATCAGGCCCCAAAATAAATACTAAAAGAAAAGATCTCAAATATAAAAAGGTCTTAATAAGTCAACTATCGTTGGTGACATTTATATATATATATATATACTATTGCAATTGAATAATTTATCCATCGATGATTACGTGTAGTTGTTGACAAGTCTCTCTTTGTGTGTAGGTAATCGTACTGCTTCTCCAAAGACTCATTCTACCACAACCAGAAATCGTTTGGACACTTTTTGAAAAGGTATTTGAAAAAGAATATAAATTTTCTTTATAATCGTGTATAATTTTTTTTACTCAATCAGGTTATGTTATCCCATAACAACAAGTAACTTTTAACAGAAAACCTAATACAAATGGCGGAGCAGAAATTTCAGTCAATGAGTTCAAAATATATAGAAGAAATACTCGAAGAAATCAAAGGGGTTCAATATCTATTATATATACATAAAAAATCATTTTTCACGAATAAGTTCGGACGAACCTCCTTCCACCTTCTGGCTCCGCCCATGCCTAATAAGATAATTAAGAAAAGCAACCACTTGCTATAACTGATTAATTGCAATAATAATGTTAAAGGTCTATACACCATCAGATATATAACTCAAATGCTTAAAAAGATTGTGCAAGACAAAAATCTATTGTGTTCAAGGGTGTAACCTCGTGATTAATATTAAAGTGGAAGGAAAATCATGAGGTCTCACGTTTAAATCGTGGTATAAGTTATAATTTCTTCTTATTTGTATAAGTTTTGGTGATAAGTATTCGATTAAATTAATCGAGGTGAGCGTAGACTAATAGAACCGCCCTATTATAAAAAATAATAATCTATAATCTATATTTAGCGAATGATACGGAAGTTTCATACCGTTAGTTATATTTCCCCACACGCAGAAACAACGTAACTTATATCAATAACTTCCATGATGTCACGTCTGTGGCTTATGCTTCCCCTTATTATAAGTTTATAACCAATTCAAAATGCTCATTATTTCATTCGTTTTCTTTCTTTCTACTAGTCTTCCAACGCGCCAAAAGAAAGAAAATATGTTGAAGTTATAAACCATTCGATATACGTTATATTAACATAAATCAGTTTGGTCTCTTTATTGACGGTGAAAGTTTCTCCGAAACATTATTAAATCTTCAAATTGAACAAACTAATAGTACAAAATGATTTATATTATATACAAATTAAATTTTACACCATCAGTTCTCTCTGGCCATAACTATCTTTTAAGTGATATGATAGTGTTGAAGTTAAATTTTAATACAAAATAGAGGTTAAGAACAAAAATATACAACTAGATTTTATTATAATTTTAAAGAGAAAGAATAAGAAAAAACTCCCACAGATTTGTTAATTTAATAGTAGTAACTTTTTCTAGAACAGTTGGGTCACCATTCAGGCTTCACAGATCCATAAGGGTAGAGGCCTGGTTTCAGAGCTTCTCTGTAGAATAATTAACTTAAATAGTCGCTCATCTAACCATTTAAATTAAAAATAGCTAGCGGATATATAATTTATATATAATATATATATAATGTATAATATGTGTACACAGGTTTAAGAAAATAAATCGTGAATCCAACCGGCTATTTGTGTAAAGATCCCTTCTATATAACCTTTGGGCCTTCTGGGGTGGGACTAGGTCCGTTCCGAGTTAGTATGTCGTAAGCTATAAAAAAAAAAGAGATTTTTTCATTCCTATATACTATTGGAAACTTTATTACCCTAAATGTTCATGTTTAGTAAATTACCCTACCTACACAAGTTTTTTTTACAAATATATACGTTCCACCTTAAAAGGCTCACAAACCATTATTTGTGCCTTCAATTAAGGGATTTAGTTATACCCTTTACCTTTTTTTTGGGAGTTGTCCTCAAGCTATCTCAGTTTTTTGTGGATGTCCTGTTTCCAAGTTCAACACAATTCTCCCAACATGCTAAAAAGATACATTATGCATGTCTAAAAAATGTTTACTTTCTTTTTAATGTTATGTGATAATAAATTTCAACAGAAAAATTTATTCTCTTTCTTAAATTTTATAAAATTAAATACATAAGAATTTTCTTTTTGTATGTTTAATGTGTCTCTTAGTGATCTATTTTAATATATATATATATATATATGTAACGACCCGGCCGGTCGTTTTTAGAATTTACGCCCCGATCCCCTATTAACTGTTTCCCCTAAGTTCCTTTCTGCTATTTTGGTTTGCAGGGACATTCGGTGTTGGATTTCGGAGAATTTTCGGACACTTAGTCCCTAAATAAGAGCTCAAGTGTTGGAAAATGGTCCGTAGTTGGAACAGTGTGAAGATGGCCTCGGAATGGAAATCTGATGGTTCCGTTAGCTCCGTTAGGTGATTTCGGGGTTGGGAGCGTGTTCGGAATGTATTTTGGAAGTCCGTAGCTAATTTAGGCTTGAATTGGCGAAGTTAGTATTTTGGCGATTTCCGGTTGATATGTGAGATTTTGATACGGGAGTCAGAATGGAATTCCGAGAGTTGCTGTAGCTTCGTTAGGTGATTTGGGATATGTGTGCAAAATTTCAGGTCATTCGGACATGGTTTGATTGGGTTTTTGATCGAATGCGTGTTTGAAAGTTTTAGAAGAACTTAGGCTTGAATTCGATGTATTTGATGGTTTTGGTGTTGTTTGAGGTATTTTGAGGATTGGAACAAGTTTGAATAATGTATTAAGATGCCTTGGTGCTTTTGGTTGAGGTCTCGAGGGCCTCGAGTGTGTTTCGGGTTATATTGCGCTCTTATTTGATGTTTCAACGCCGTATCTTTGGACATAAAGGGGTACCACAATGATTAAATGAGCTCCAAATTAAGTTTTTATTGAACCATTAGATCCGTATCGTAATTTCGGAGCCATAGCAAAAAGAATTGTCGAATTTGGACATCGTATGAGGGAGTTATGCTCATTTCCGTGTCGAGAAAGTGCTGGTTGCTGTCATAACCGCAAAAGCGGAAATTGACCGCGGAGGCGGTACCGCAAAAGTGGAAATAGTGCCGCGGAAGCGAAAATTTCCGCGGAAGCGGAAAATTTTCCGCAGAAGCGGAAAATAGGCCTGGGCAGAGATCTTAAGTTCCGAAAATGGGACTTTGTTCCCATTTTCTTTCATTTTTGACTTCTAGAGCTCGGTTTTGGGAGAAATTTTGAGGGGTTTTCGCGAGCAATGATTGGATTTGAGCCATTTG